AAGATCCCGTGGAGTAGGAAATGGCAACCCACTCCAGTGTTCTTGCCTGGAGAATTCCACAGAGGAGCCTGGAAGGCTATACAGCCCATGGGGTTGCAAAGAAGTCAGACACAACCAAGCCTACACACACACACACAAAATGACAAATATTCTACTCACTGAAAATTTCCACCTTCACCTAATTTACATAAAAAAGAAATGAAAACAACTCTCAAATTGAATAAGATCTTTTCCCAAACACTTTGCCCAATAAAAAATACTAATTCTTCAGAGATCAACCTTTTTTTTTTAAGGCCCAAACCACTTGATTCCATAGACAGTTGTGCTTGGAAGTTAAGCAGATTAAATGAAATCACACAAAATGTTTTAAATTAAATATTATATAAAGTACTTAGTACTGTTGCCTGATACATAGTATTCAACAACCAGTAACTATTTTTATTCTCGATAACCTCACTTTCAACAAAGAACCAATTTCTAAACTCAAGGAACCTGAAAATGTTATTGAAACCACTGAAATCTCTTCTTTAGTCACACTACAATCTAAAGGAACATAATTTAGTCAGCAAGCCTTCACTGAATACTAACACAGCAATTCTTTAAAGTGTGGTCCCTAGATCTGAAGCATTAACATCATCTGGTAGAATTTGTTAGAAATGCAAACTCTAGGGCCCCAAAGCTACAATCAAGGTCTGGGGATGAGCCTGACCATCAGAGCTTCCATAAGCCCTCCAGTGTTTGCTCCAGTTTGAGAGTTAGCGGGCTAGTTTCACAGAGCTCGGGGTGGTGTGTTCTGCAGGGACTGGGAGCCCAGAAGCAGAGGAGTGATGGAGTTCCTAGGCATATCCTCCATGGAGCCTAGCACAGTGCCACACACAGAGCGGGCACTCAGGTCTGAGCAGGGTAACAGTCAAACTGCCAGTGGCTGGCTGGACAATAACAACATCAGTTTATTATTTCACAGAGATAAGAAATTCTGATGACTGTCTGCATTAACAAATAATGCAATAAGTAAGGACACAATGTGCACACACCAGGAGCTGTTTAACTGGCAAAGTACTCCAGGGCCTCCATTACTTTGGCAAGTAACCCAGGCTTACTTACAAAGTGTCATATGGTTTGAAATGTAAGTGGATATACATTTCAAATTTACCAGTACACAAACATAATCTGTTCATGACCTCTATACAAGTCAACTGTGGAACATAAACTAAAATGAAAACTTATTGTTGCCTTTAAAAAAAGCACTCGTTAAAAAAAAATAAACAATAAAAAAGTAAAAAAAGCACTTGTTTCACATATTACTCATCTATAATATGTGGACCCAACATAGATTCCAATTTGAACAAAGTGTTTTTTAAAAAAAACAAAACTGAGGAAACCTGAACATTGCTAACTGGATATTTGATATTAAAAAATTGTGACAAAGGATTAAGATTACATTTTTTAAAGAAGCTTTATCTCTTCTAAAAGCTTTAGAGATGAAATGATATGTACTGAGCTTGATTCTTGGGGACAGAACATATAAACTTAGTCTGGTCACTGAGCTGCTGAGTACACAGGAATGGGGGGTCTTCCAAACTCTGGCTCTACTGACATTTTGGCTATTTTTTTGACGGGGTAGGGGGCACTGTGCAGTGTACTGTAAAATGTTTAGGTGCATTCCTGGTCAGTAGCAACCCTCTTAGGTTGTGACAACCAAAACCAACATTGTCGAATGTCCACTGGGGGCCAAACTTGTCCCCAGTTGAGAACCATTGATAAATACCCATTAAATTCTCTTTATTTGCTTTCCATAGAAAAATATTTTTAAAAGTCTACTTTTAATTACACTTTATGTATTGGTACAACTGCATCTCCCTAGTTGAATAATTACTACATAAAATGTAGAGAAACAGCCTGATACACAAAAAAGCAGAGAGGACTGGGATAGAGATCTGAGGCCTAGTAGATGCTCTGCTGCTAAAGTCAATAGTTGCAAGCAGCTCCTGTCACCTTTTTGAGCCTCAACATCCTCATTAGGTCCAGCTGTTTGACCAGACCTTTTGAGGTTTTTTTTTTAATCCTTTTAAGTTTTAAAATAATTTGCTAACAGTCTATCAGCTAAAGGTGGATATTCAAATCTGGAAATCAAATGAAAACAGAGTAGTGTACTAGTATGAAGAGAATTTTCTTTTTGCAAATTATCTGCCTTTTGTTATTCTTGACCTATAAGCAACATTTCTTACACAATTATATATAATTATTTAAAATTTAAAGAAGATTCCTGGCGTAAGCAAAATGGACTCTTTTTACAAAATATAAAGACAAATCTAACTGTCATATCAGCCAAAATTGTCCATCAACTGGTGAACATATTTAAAAAAAGAAAAACTGTTATACACCCAAACAATGAACTACTTACTACTCAGCAATAACAAGGAATGAACTACTGATACACACACACAAATAACTCTCAAAAATATTATGCTAAATTAAAGATACTAGCCACAAAATTATACGCTCTTTGACACCATTTAAGTAACATTTTAGAAAAGGAAAACTAGAGAGACAGGGGAAGGGAGAGGGAATTGTGAAGAGAAACAGGGCACCTTTCTGGGCAATGGAAATGTTCTCTAACCTGACCGTGATAGTGATTACATAACCATACATTTGTCAAAATTCACCAAACTGCACACTTGGGAAGAGTGAATGTTCTATCTCAACATACACAACTTAAAAGAGCTGCCCCTCAGACTGAGAACTCCCATTCATTCTTGAGCCCTCATTATACTCAATTGGCAGGAAGTCTAATACTCAGTTCAGTAGTATCAGGTAAATAATATGGTATATGCCAGACATGAAACACCACACAAGGAATCACACTGTGAAAGATATACTTTCAGAACATGTCAACACCAGAGTTAAAAAGAGGGCATGGATAAATAATGCAATGATGTGCTACAAACCTCTATTTTACCACTGTCAGAAATTCAATTTTAAATACATTCCAAGAGAATAAAGGCACACTCCATACCCTACATTTTTTTTAAAGTTAGTAATTTCTAATGACACACAAAAAGATTACACCATAATTCAACAAATTCAACAGAGAACCAGTAAAGACCCATTTGGTGTAAACCCATCATTATCACAAATCTGCTATCATTGTTTCTGATTATAGTTTACTTAGAAATTATGGAGCTCCTGGGACTTCCCTGGTGGTCCAATGGTTAACACTCCCCGTATCCACTGCAGGGGGCCCAGGTTCCACCTGGTGAGGGAACTAAGATCCCACAAGCCACGCAGTGCAGTCAAAAAATAGAAAAATAATAGTAACAAAATAGGAAGTATGGACCTCCTGCTCTGGTTCAATGTAAGATTGTGCTTCTCTGAGTGAAAGTCAATGATGTAAGTTAACTCACATTTTTGCTTGCTCCACTCTACACAGTCAAAGAACAAGAAAACAATGAAGAATTAGGTTCTATGAGAAAATGAAATTCACCAATTCACCTTGTCTAGATTTTCTACTGCTTTTTATGTAATTTCCTAATCCATGTCATGGAAAGGTACATACATCACTGTGCTACTGATTTACCAGGTTAAAGAGCATTAAATATCATCCATTAATATACTAAAGGGATGCTTTAGGCCAAGATTTACATAAACAGATTAAATCATCTAATGGTTATCCAGCAAATAAGTGGCATTTTGAAGATTAAAATGAAGGTATTTGATACCACTAAGTCACAAGGTCTCAGGACGTTATTGAAAGCATGAAAACAGGCAGAGCAAGGAAGCTTTTCCTAAGTGACAGCATTTTCTTGCCAGGAATTACCTCATAACACCTATAATAAAAGGCCAGTGAAGTTTCTTTACAAGTTATTTTCTAGATTTTTAAAAAACTTTTTATTTTGTATTGGGGTATAGGGGATTAACAAAGCTATGATAGTTTCAGGTGAGAGTGACTCAGCCGTACCTATACATGTATCCGTTCTCCCCCAAACTCCCCTCCCATTTAGGCTGCCCCACAACATTGAACAGAGTTTCATGTGCTATACATTAGGTCCTTGCTGGTTATCCACACAGTAGTGTGTACATGTCCATCCCTCCCTCCCTCCCCACCCCCAACCTATATGTTTTCGTTTTTAACAGAAGATAACTCACAGCTAGACTGGAACAGTCCTGAAGCCAGAGCTAGAAAAGAGTTCCAATCGCACTGGGACAGAGCCAACATCTCTCGAATGGAATTTTTACTACAAGTTGTCAGTCACTCAAACTGCTGTTCCTTGCCTTTTTAAAAAGTTCACAAGAACAAAAGCCAAGGTTTCTTTTACAGAATCATAGAATGTAAGTGCCAGGATAGACCAAGGAGCTCATCTAAGCCAAGTTCTTTCCAGGAAGGAGAAGAGCTAAGCCCAGAGTGGCTAGGCAGTGCGAGGCAGGCAGCCTGACTACACACCCTCATTTGAAAGGTGCTCAACCAACTCCTTCAAAACAGATTCGTCTGGAAACGCGGCTGCTACTCGGTAAGTCTAAACTCTCTCCAAGAATTTCTGAATAGCTCTGGAGTTCCACCTAAGGGGGCCGAAAAGATCCCTCAGAGGGCATTTACTTCTAGTGACTGTCACTAAACTCAGCTGCACACGATTTACAGAACGAGGCATAAAGGACAGTCCACTTGGTCCAATCAAGTACGTTTAGTCAACACCACGAACCAGTTTTTAACCCGAGAGCCTTTCAAGAGCTGCCTACTTCACCTGAAGAGAGTCTGGTAGCGAAGACCCGACACAAGCTCTGAGAGCCCACTGTACCGCCACCGCCTCTCAGGCCGACCACGCTGCAGCCTCCACGCTTCGCTTCCGAGAGAGCACCCGGCGTAGTCACGGATGCGCTCCCCGCCCCGCGCGTTCAGGAAACGGGCCGCCCACCGGACCCCAGGTGGCGAGGAGAGGGATGCGGCCGCAATCCCGGCGGCGGGACGCGGAGACCCGACCCGAGCGGCCTCAGAGGTTACTCACGTTCTCAGTGTCCCGTTCATTCACCGTCGGCAACGGGGTCCTAGTGGACATTTTACTTCACTTCACTTCACAACGCGAGGGTGAAACAAAACAGCGCGGCCCCGGGGCCGGCGTCGCGGCGAAGAGCCCGGCGGTTCCGGAGCGGCGCCGCGGGAGGGCGGCTCCCCTCCCCCACGGCCGTCTAGAACCCGGGCCGGGCCCGGGCCGTCCCCCGGAGGGTCGTGGGGCTCATGCTCCCCCGGCCCCGGCGGCCGCGCCGAGGAGCCCCGCGGTCGGCGGTGGCGGGGCCGGGCCGCCGGCGGCGGCAGGCTGCGGCTCGGCCCGCCGGCGTCCCCGCGCCTCAGGGCGCCCCGCAGGCCCGGACCCCCTCGCCTCCTCCTCCGCCCCCGCCCGTCGCGCCGCGGATTTCAGCGCCTGAGCCTCCACACAGCGCCGCCGGCGGCCCCTGAAGAAGAGGATGTGGAGTGCGAGACAGGTCCCCGCAAGCTGCGGGCGCCGACCATGGAGGGGACTGCGGAAGCGGCGCCTGCGCCTGGCTGCTCTTCTCCCTCCGGCTCTATTTCCGCCTCAGCCTCCGCCCGGTGCCTGCCGACACCGCCGCTCCCGGCACCTTCGAGCCTCACGGACCCAAGATGGCCGCCTCTCGGCTTCCTTTGCTGCCTCCGGATGCCGGAAATGACGACACCGCCGCCTCCCGAGTCCGGCCAATTAGCGCGGCCCGAGGAAGCCGGCCGGACTGCTGTTGCTAGGGGCGACTCCCGGGCCGAGGGGGCGGTGCCCATGGCGGGGGAGGGCTGGCTGGTACCGGCGGGTGGCTGGGGCGGCGGGTTCCCGGCGTCCTGAGCACGCGGCCGTCGGGAAGGAGCCGGCAAACGGTCCTGGGCGGTGGCCTGAGCTAAGACTGTTGGACAGGCGTTTGTAGTGTTGATGGAGCGTCTGCTGTGTGCAACAGCCGAGGTCGCGTCCCTCAAAAAAAGCTGGGAGCGCGCTGCATCCAGATGGAGCCGTGACAGTAGTTATGGGGCCAGGGCTGCGGGGAGGAGCCGAGTTCCTGCACCGTTAACGGTGACCCGGGAACCGTGAACTCAGTCACCTTTCCTGCCCCCGGCACGCTGAGCAGCTCTCGGCTGAGCTCAGCATCCTGAGGGCCGCAGGCCCGTCCCGCCCACGAGGAACTCGCGGTCGGGAGGGAGAGAGACCCGGACGCAGCTTGCAGAAGGAAGAGTGCTACAAGGGGGCCGGGAGCCCTAGAGTCCCCCTGGGACTACTGCCTAAATCTCCGTCGGGGGCAGGGTTATAACCGGACTCTTCGTTCCCGGTCCCACCTTGGGTCGGAGTTTGGTGGACGCTTGCAGACTGAGACGTTGGAGATAGAACCTCCTCTGCAACCCTTCCTAGCTCCTGAGCCTCTGATTGTAACGCGTGGACCTGCCCAGAGTCTGGCCGGCGGTGGATGGAATGCTTCAGTGGGGGTTCTGAGAAGGCAGGGCGGAAGGAGCTGGAGTAACAGTGATCTGCTACTGAGAGTCCACCTTGTGGGTTCCACACATCTGTTAGCTCGTTTAAGCCTCGGGGTAACCCTCTAAGATGGGCAGACACACCTAGTGATCCCAAGTCTAAACAGGTTACAGTGATGTGACCAAAAGACTCAGGTTGGTTAGCTGCAAGGCTGGGATTTGAACTAATATCCTAAAACTTAGAAAAGCACTTGTGGTGGGTATGTCCTGCTTTTCTTTTTCTATTTTTAATGTTTTCTCCTTTTGTCCCCCAGGATGTGACTCCTCTTGCTCTGTCTGGGACATTTCCTGCCCTGTGAGACATATATGTCTTTAAACACCAGAATCACTCCCAGAAAGGACAGATGCTCACAATGTCAGGACATAGGACTACTAAGATGCAGTCAGGGCTTCCATTGCTTCCTCTCAGGAAAGTGTTCAGGCCAAAGATTGCCCTGTTTGAATTAAAATGTCCTTCTCTTTCTCTCTTTGGCCAAGCAGAGATGGTTGGATTTTTGTTAGTTAAATGTATCTTTCACACAGTTCAACTGAGAAATGTGGGTGAGCACAAGACTGTGGGAGTCCCTGGAGGCACATGTGGCCCCCAACCTGGGAAGTTGGTCAAGAAAGCTTCCTGGAAGAGTGGTGGTTATGCTGCATCTAAATGCATGAGTCGAGTTAGCCAGGTGAGGGTGGCTGAAAGGGGATGCCAAGCAAGATGACTTGTACAGATGAGGAGCAACGTGGTGGTTTAGGTAAAGATCAGGAGGTGAGTGGTGAGACTGGAGGGGTAGGCCAGGCCCAGGCCAGGTTTGGACACAGCATGGCACTCCTGATGACAGGAATGTTAACTAGGTCAGCTGCGTAAACACCCAGAGGACCCACAAAAGGGTTTCAGCCTGGGGCAGGAGCTGAGAGAAAGGGTTTGGACGATTCAGAACATTCCACATTGGCCAGAGAAGTGGCTGGGGGGTGAGGTTTCCACCTCAACGCTTTTTTCACTGAAGGCACACATTAAATAATGAGTCAGTGAATGCCAAGAGGTAGGAAATGAAGCTGACAGTACTTAACAAGATGCTTCTGGTTTTCATAAAGGCTACAATTAAACACTTTGAAACTTTCATAGCACTTGTGTCAAATGATATGATTGTACTATAAAGACCTGAAAATGGGAGGCAAGGTGTACATGTTCCACGCAAAATGGAGGAGGAGAAAAAAAGAAAGACAACCCACTTTTCTGTCTAAAGGACCCTCTGTAGCCTAAATTATGTACATCTAAGGATCTGGAAGAGATGGAAGGGTAGGATCTGAACATTGTTCTTGAAATGTCTTCTTCTGTCCTTTTTCATATGCCTATTTCCTGTCTTCATTTTTTTTTTATAATTTTATGTATTTATTTTTGGCTGTGCTGGGTCTTCATCACTGAGTGGCCTTTTCTCCAGCAGCGGTGAGTGGGGACTACTCTCTAGTTGCAGTGCCCGGGCTTCTCGTCGCGGTGGCTTTTACTGTTGTGGAGGACAGGCGCTGGGGTGCTCGGGCTCAGTAGTTGCGACTCCCAGGCTCCAGAGCACAGGCTGCGTAGTTGCAGAGCACAGGTTCACTTGTCACGTGTGGGATCTTCCTGGATCAGGGATCGAACCCATGTCTCCTGCGTTAGCAGGCAGGTTCTTTACCACTGAGTCACCAGGGAAGTCCCTCCTGGCTTCATATTAAAATAGGTTGTATCTCAGGCTCCTTGAACTGAAAAGATATAACTAAATACACCAAGTTGTGTATGTGCACAGATAGGGCCTGCTTTCATGTCAAGAAGGAGGGTCATCTTGAAGATAATCTTGTCCTACCCTTGCTGCTGTAGGACAGAAGAGAAACTGAGCCTGGGAGAGGTGAAGTGACTTGTCTGAAGTTGCACAGCTGATTAGCAGTAGAGCCAGAATGGGCCCCGATTTCAGAAGCCCCAGACTTGTGTCCTTGTCCACAGCTACTGTGGGCGTGTGGTGGGGAAATCTGTTTAGCACTCACTCCACCCCAGCACCAGAAAGAAAGAGCAACGGCACGAGTCCTGAAACTGCTCTCCTCCAGACTCCTTATGCCAGAAAAATAAGTCCCTGTTTGTTCAAGCCAGGAGAGTTTAGGATGGCTGTTACTTGCAGCTCAGTGCATGCCTAACCAGTGTCAAGTGGTCAGATCTCCTGGTCCCCAGGCCTGTGTTCTCTGCACCACACCTAGTTCGGATAGACCTAGGAAAGACCTGCTCCTGCCTGCGCATCACACCACAGCACTCACAAGCACAATTCTGATGTGAGAGGGTGTGGGAACTGCTGGGATCCAGGATCCATTCCTCAGCTTGTGTGTGCAAGTGTGTTGTTGTCATTGCTGTGTAACTGATAAGGAACAGAATGCTGAGCACTTAGAATAAATAAAGTCAAGAAGAGAAGGAGGGGCTTCCATGGTAGTTCAGCGTTAAAGAATGCCTGACAATGTAGGAGACATTCGGGAAGATACCACATGCTGCGAAGCAAATAAGCCCGTGTCCCACAACTGTTGAAGCTGTGCTCCAGAGCCTGAAAGCCACAGCTACTGAAGCCTGCATGCCTGGAGCCTATGCTCCACAACAGGAAAAGCCACCACAATGAGAAGCCTGCGCACCACAACTAGAGTGGCCCCAGCTAGCTGCAGCTAGAGAAAAGCCCCTGCGGCAACCAACCCAGAATGGTCAAAAATGAATAAATAAATAATGTGTAAATAAATAATAAAGTAGATAAAAGTAATTTTATATTTTTATTTAAATAAAAAAAGTAAAAAGTAAATAAAAGTGAATAAATAAAATTATCTTTTTAAATATTAGCTTTCTTTAAAAAAAAAAAAGAATTGTGATGATTGTGGGACATCTGGGGTCATCATGCCCGGAGGCAGGGACAGGTGCGTCGTCAACTAGGTCACAGGTGCTTAGAGGCCACCACCCAGGGAAATACAAAGTCCATTCCAGATTCCGCCCTCCTCAACATCCACAGGCAGGGGGTGTGCTGCTGCTGCTGCTGCTGAGTCGCTTCAGTCGTGTCCGACTCTGTGCGACCCCATGGACGGCAGCCCACCAGGCTCCCCCGTCCCTGGGATTCTTCAGGCAAGAGTCCTGGAGTGGGGTGCCATTGCCTTCTCCGAGGGGGTATAGTAGGGGTCAGAGCAGACTTGCTGCTATTTTTTTAGTTCACTGCTCTGGTGAATTAAATTCCTTCTTCACCCCCGTGAAGACACTGTTGTCCTCTGCGAGGGCCAGCAGACAGCTTAGGAATTCTCGCGTCCTGGCCTTTCTGCCAGGATGACTTCCAGACTACCTGGGTCTTCCCTGTTGTTATGAAGCCCTGTCATCTGACTTCTTGCATGGGACCTTCTCAGACTAGCTCCCAGTGAGCAGAATCCTTGATTTTTGCTGTCCGGGTACATAGTACATTCATTGAGCTCCAGCTGTATTGGCAGTGCACCAGGCACCTATGCTAAGACCACTAACTGCACCAGCCCGCTGAGGGAGGTGACAGCCGGGCTCAGAGAGGGGCTGTAAGTTGCCCAGCGTTGTCACAGTCCAGAGAAGAGCCATGATCGGGCTTTTATCAAGGACTCATATTCCTACTGTCAGTTCCCATGAAACACTGCAATATTGGGGTGATCTTGGGGGATATGAAGATAGAAAGGGCCATTTTTCCCTTGTGCTTGCTGGCCCCAGGCTACTGAAATGTTCTATTCTCTTATCTGTTGGAGATTATAGATCTAAATCTAGTCCAGATGTGCATGTATATGACCTTCTGTTGGGTGTCCTTGCTACATCCTGACAGTGTAGCTCTCTGTCCTCTCAACTCTGAGCTGGGAAAACCCACTGTTTAGAACTGTATCCAAAGGTCTATGGAGAGGGCTTAAGAATTGGCCTGACAATACAGGGGACAGGGGTTCAATTCCTGGTCCAGGAAGATCCCACATGCTTCGGGGCAACTAATCCCATGCACCACAACTCCATGACTACTGAGCCCACACACCTAGAGCCTGCATACCACAACAAGAGTAGTCCCTACTTGCCAAATATACCCACACACAGCCAAAAAAATAAAAATTAATTTAAAAAGAAAAAGGTCTATGGAGACAACAGAGGTGGCAGAAAAGCAAGGACTCTGGAGTTTCAACTCTGGATGTGAACCCTGGCTGTGGCCCTGAATGCTGGGTGACCTTGAACAAATCACTCCATGTCTTTGAGGCACAGTTTTTTTAATCAGTCAAATGGGAACAATAGAACATTCTACCCATGATAGCTGTGGGGATCCATGGAGATAATGCCCAGAGAACAGCCAGCATGTATGTGTGGAGTTCACCTCCCACCACAGAGGGGACCCACCTTCCCGGCAGCTGCACTTCTCAGTTCTCCCCTGGATGAGCACTGGACTTGGAGGCTGGAGACATAGGTCAAGGCTTACCAGGCCACAGGTGGTTGGGGGGTCAGGGGTCACTCCTCCTCCCATCCAATTTCACCCAGCTCACATGTTGTTGAGCTCATCATAGGAGGCAATGGGTGCAAATGTGCTTGGCAAGGGGCCTTGCAATACAAAAGTTGTCTGAGACAAGGCTAATGTGCAGATATGAGTAGAAGTTTTACAACAGATTCCTGTTGGGTTATGCCTCATAGAGAAAAAACTTAATTCACAGTAGTGGGGTTTTCTGTGCCAACAGTGAGGGGTTGCTGTCTGCCTGTTGAAAGAAGTCGGTGTGCTGTGACATTTCGAAGGTGGAACCATTTCTGACTAGTGCTGCGAGATTTACTTGTCTGTCATGAAAATCTGGTGATTGGGAAAATCTCCATTTTATGGATGTGGGAAGAAAGTTCAAGATGAATTATATTTTTACATTGGTTTGTACATAGATTCTGAACCAGCATCGAGTCTAGATAATGCATTCATGAGTCAAGGCATTTCTGTTTGACCATGACACTGCTGTAGAATCATAACCTGTTAACCAGTGTATTACTTTCTACCTATGAAACTGTTTTGAAAGGAAAATTCTTTTCTAGTTATCCAGCCTTGTAATTAAATAATTTTGAATAGCCAAAAAAAAAAAAAAATACAAAAGTTGTTCGTGCTCATATTTATTGTCTCTGTTTTGCAGACAGGTAACTCAGGAAAGGCAGGAGGAAACTCAGGAAGGGCAGGAATCTCAGGAAGGGCAGGAGGCTCATTCAAGCTGCTCTAGGCAGAAAGTAATGCCATCATATTCCACTTCAGTGACCCTGACACCCCTCTGGCTGCAAAAACAGACAACAAAAGGATGAGGGAGATAAATGATGAGTGGGTAAATAAAACCCGCTCTCTCCTGGAGCTTCCTATCTGTCCATTCCTTTGCTGCTGCTGCTGCTGCTAAATCACTTCAGTCGTGTCTGACTCTGTGCGACCCCATAGACGGCAGCCCACCAGGCTCCTCTGTCCCTGAGATTCTCCAGGCAAGAATACTGGAGTGGGTTGCCATATCCTTCTCCAATGCATGAAAGTAAAAAGTGAAAGTGAAGTCGCTCAGTCGCGCCCGACTCTTAGCAACCCCATGGACTGCAGCCTACCAGGCTTCTCCGTCCATGGGATTTTCCAGGCAAGAGTACTGGAGTGGGGTGCCACTGCCTTCTCCGGTCTATTCCTTTAGGGTTGCCCTATTAAATCAAGCAACCCCAGGACTTCCCTGGTGGTCCAGTGGGTAA